TGAGGATCCAAAGGCTGCTCTGTGGAGGACGGGTGGTGAAAGCTGCCCTGTGGGGGTCCAAAGGCTGCACTGTGGGGGATGAGGGTCCAAAGGCTGCTCTGTGGAGGACGGGTGGTGAAAGCTGCCCTGTGGGGGTCCAAAGGCTGCACTGTGGGGGATGAGGGTCCAAAGGCTGCTCTGTGGAGGACGGGTAGTGAAAGCTGCCCTGTGGGGGTCCAAAGGCTGCACTGTGGAGGATGGGTAGTGAAAGCTGCCCTGTGGGGGATGAGGGTCCAAAGGCTGCTCTGTGGAGGATGGGTAGTGAAAGCTGCCCTGTGGGGGTCCAAAGGCTGCACTGTGGGGGATGAGGGTCCAAAGGCTGCCCTGTGGGGGATGAGGGTCCAAAGGCTGCCCTGTGGGGGATGAGGGTCCAAAGGCTGGTCTGTGGAGGACGGGTAGTGAAGGCTGCCCTGCGGGGGACGGGTAGTGAAGGCTGCCCTGCGGGGGACGGGTAGAGTGAAGGCTGCCCTGCGGGGGACGGGTAGTGAAGGCTGCCCTGCGGGGGACGGGTAGTGAAGGCTGCCCTGCGGGGGACGGGTAGTGAAGGCTGCCCTGCGGGGGACGGGTAGTGAAGGCTGCCCTGCGGGGGACGGGTAGTGAAGGCTGCCCTGCGGGGGACGGGTAGTGAAGGCTGCCCTGCGGGGGACGGGTAGTGAAGGCTGCCCTGCGGGGGACGGGTAGTGAAGGCTGCCCTGCGGGGGACGGGTAGTGAAGGCTGCCCTGTGGGGGATGGGTAGTGAAGGCTGCCCTGCGGGGGACGGGTGGTAAAGGCTGCCCTGTGGAAGTTTCACAATCCAGGAATCCATAAAGAATATTCAGACTACAGACGGCACAATGAGCACAGACCTCCCCATCACCCACTTCACCATCCTGCACAACAGCCACCCCAAATCTGAACCCCCCCCCCCAGCTTTGCCCTCTCTTGGAGGGTCTCGCTCTCACTCCTGCGATTCCTCCAGCCTTAACATTGGGTGGGAGGTGATAGTTGGGATGGTAGTCAGAGACATCTTCTCCCTGCCGCAACACCAGACTTCCGTGGAACCCTTTTTGAGCCCTGCTGTAGGAGGGGGGTCTGACAAGCAGCCCTGAAGGGGGCCAGAAAACGGCTCTGTATGGCAGCTTTTCTCAACCTTTTAACCATCAAGAACATTTTTTCTTTTTTTTAAATCCCTAAAATAATTTCCGGTCTGCAGCCCCCAGTAGATGAGCGATGAGCGAGTGTTCGGGATTACAGACAAATTCAACTTTGTAACCAGAAGCTTTGTTTTGTAGAACAAACATTTCATTTATTAGCAAAATCCATCTGCATTGGGGTTTGGTGACAAAAATGACATTAGATGTCTTTCCTGCCTGGTGGGGGGGGGGGGGGGGGGTCCGCTAAGCTGCCCTGGAGGGGCAAATTCACCGATTTAAACTAAAAGCTTTGAAAATGAGAATTTCCAGCTGACTTGTTTGCCGAGCTGCTCCAGATTCTGTCTGGTTCTGATGGACTCCCACCTGTAGTTCCGGGGTCCGGAGTGAGCAACACACAGACCACCTTACAGAGTATGGCCATAATCACCCCTCGTCACATCAGAAGTCAATCCCCCCCCCCCCAAATCCTGATCCCCAACAGTACAGATAACCCTAACATACATCAGCACAAAGTCCATAAGGACAGACGTGCCCCCCCCCACCACCAATTACCCCTTGGTAAAGACAGACATTGCCCCGGAACAAAGCCCCCAGTAAAGATAGATGCCTCCCACCCGAGCCCTGAATATAGACGGATGGCGCCCCAGCAGAGCCCTCAATATAGACGGACGGCGCCCCCAGCAGAGCCCTCAATATAGATCAGGGTGGGCAAACTTTTTGACTTGAGGGCCGCAATGGGTTCATATATTGGACCCGGGGGGCCGGACCAAGAGTAGATGAATGATGTGTATGTGTCATCCATAGTAAGTATAGTAATTAATCCCCATATAGTAATTTATCCCCCATATAGTAATTCATCCCCCATAGTAATTCATCCCCCCTATAGTAATTCATCCCCCATATAGTAATTCATCCCCCATATAGTAATTCATCCCCCATATAGTAATTCATCCCCCATATAGTAATTCATCCCCCATAGTAATTCATCCCCCCTATAGTAATTCATCCCCCCTATAGTAATTCATCCCCCATATAGTAATTCATCCCCCATATAGTAATTCATCCCCCATATAGTAATTCATCATCCCCCATATAGTAATTCATCCCCCATATAGTAATTCATCCCCCATATAGTAATTCATCCCCCATAGTAATTCATCCCCCCCATAGTAATTCATCCCCCATAGTAATTCATCCCCCATATAGTAATTCATCCCCCATAGTAATTCATCCCCCATAGTAATTCATCCCCCATAGTAATTCATCCCCCATAGTAATTCATCCCCCCCTATAGTAGTTCATCCCCCATATTAAGTCCCCAAGTCCCCCCTGTGTCAATTCACTTACCTTTGCTCCGCGCGTTCCTCTCGCCGTGTTCCCGCGCCGTTCCGGTGTAGCATGAAAATCTGTCTCCTATGAGGATCTGTCCCCCTCGACGTATCTGCGCATGTGCCAGTTTCAGGCATTAGCAGCCGATCGGCGATCTCCGGCACATGCGCAGATACGTGGAGGGGACAGATCCTCATAGGAGACAGGTTTTCATGCTACACCGGTCTTCAGGGCGGACTGTGAGAGGAGCCTAGCGGGAGCCTAGCTCCGCGGGCCGTAGTTTGCCCATTGCTGGTATAGATGGACAGCGCCCCCAGCACAGAGCCCTCAATATAGACAGACGACGCCCCCAGCACAGAGCCCTCAATATAGACGGACGGCGCCCCCAGCAGAGCCCTCAATATAGACGGACGGCGCCCCCAGCACAGAGCCCTCAGTATAGACCAGGTGTGAGCAAATGTGGCCCTCTAGCTGTTGTAGAACTACAAGTCCCATGAGGCATTGCAAAACTGACAGTTACAAGCATGAGTCCCAAAGACAGAGGCATGATGGGACTTGTAGTTCACTAAAAGCTGGAGGGCCACAGTTGCCCACCCCTGAAACAGACGGACTGCGCCCTCAGCACAGATCCCTCAGTATAGACGGACGGAGCCCTCAGCACAGAGCCCTCAGTATAGACGCACGGTCCCCGCCCAGCACAAACCCCCAGTCAGTATAGACGCACAGTCCCCGCCAAGCACAAAGCCCTCAGTCAGTATAGACGCACGGTCCCCGCCCAGCACAAACCCCCAGTCAGTATAGACGCACGGTCCCCACCCAGCACAAAGCCCTCAGTCAGTATAGACGCACGGTCCCCACCCAGCACAAAGCCCTCAGTCAGTATAGACGCACGGTCCCCGCCCAGCACAAACCCCCAGTCAGTATAGACGGATGGCGCCCTCAGCACAGATCCCTCAGTATAGACGCACGGTCCCCGCCCAGCACAAACCCCCAGTCAGTATAGACGCACGGTCCCCGCCCAGCACAAACCCCCAGTCAGTATAGACGCACGGTCCCCGCCCAGCACAAACCCCCAGTCAGTATAGACGTCGCACGGTCCCCCGCCCAGCACAAACCCCCAGTCAGTATAGACGCACAGTCCCCCCCAGCACAAACCCCCAGTCAGTATAGACGGATGGCGCCCTCAGCACAGATCCCTCAGTATAGACGCACGGTCCCTGCCCAGCACAAACCCCCAGTCAGTAGAGACACACAGTCCCCGCCCAGCACAAAGCCCTCAGTCAGTATAGACGCACGGTCCCTGCCCAGCACAAACCCCCAGTCAGTATAAACGCACGGTCCCCGCCCAGCACAAAGCCCTCAGTCAGTATAGACGCACGGTCCCCGCCCAGCACAAACCCCCAGTCAGTATAGACGCACGGTCCCCGCCCAGCACAAAGCCCTCAGTCAGTATAGACGCACGGTCCCCCGCCCAGCACAAAGCCCCAGTCAGTATAGACGCACGGTCCCCGCCCAGCACAAAGCCCCAGTCAGTATAGACGCACGGTCCCCGCCCAGCACAAAGCCGTCAGTCAGTATAGACGCACGGTCCCCGCCCAGCACAAAGCCCTCAGTCAGTATAGACGCACGGTCCCCCGCCCAGCACAAAGCCCTCAGTCAGTATAGACGCACGGTCCCCGCCCAGCACAAAGCCCTCAGTCAGTATAGACGCACGGTCCCTGCCCAGCACAAACCCCCAGTCAGTATAGACGCCACAGTCCCCGCCCAGCACAAAGCCCTCAGTCAGTATAGACGCACGGTCCCTGCCCAGCACAAACCCCCAGTCAGTATAGACGCACGGTCCCCGCCCAGCACAAAGCCCTCAGTCAGTATAGACGCACGGTCCCCGCCCAGCACAAAGCCCTCAGTCAGTATAGACGCACGGTCCCCGCCCAGCACAAACCCCCAGTCAGTATAGACGCACGGTCCCCGCCCAGCACAAACCCCCAGTCAGTATAGACGCACGGTCCCTGCCCAGCACAAACCCCCAGTCAGTATAGACGCACAGTCCCCGCCCAGCACAAAGCCCTCAGTCAGTATAGACGCACGGTCCCCGCCCCAGCACAAAGCCCTCAGTCAGTATAGACGCACGGTCCCCGCCCAGCACAAAGCCCTCAGTCAGTATAGACGCACGGTCCCTGCCCAGCACAAACCCCCAGTCAGTATAGACGCACGGTCCCCGCCCAGCACAAAAGCCCTCAGTCAGTATAGACGCACGGTCCCCGCCCAGCACAAAGCCCTCAGTCAGTATAGACGCACGGTCCCCGCCCAGCACAAAGCCCTCAGTCAGTATAGACGCACGGTCCCCGCCCAGCACAAAGCCCTCAGTCAGTATAGACGGAAGGTCCGCGGTACCACTTGAAGCTGCCGATGTAGATGTACGGAAGGAAGTCTTCTAGCGGTTATTAACACTTTAACCTCCCAAACTAAAACAACGTTCGGACAGACTAACCTTCGGGATGGAAGTCACAACTACAGGAAATGCTTTACATTATAACCGACCCCCCATGTGCAGCCCCAGCAGGACACGTGTCATAGATGTACTTTCAGCCGACGTCCCTCAATGTTTCAGCACCGATGGCCTGCCGAGAGAAGACAAAAACCTTCAGCATTTCACACGTTTGTCATCATACAGACACTACAAATCACAGCTATTTCTTCTCATTAGTACACATACATTCCCCAGGTGATGATTTTTTTGGGAAACAGATGATGGTTAATGAGACACTCGGGGTCTGATAGAGCGGCATGAATCCCCTGAATGTAGTGCAGTGCGGATCGCATTCCATTACTTCCTGGTCATGCTGGTTGGGGACACAGAGGCTGACCTGACAGTGACATCATACACATGGCTTTCTGGGGGTGTCTGGTCTGCTCTGCACTCCTGACATTCCTCCTCACATTGTTTCTACCATCCCAGCTACCACCCTCCTACCCAGACAGACCCTCCCCTCACCCCGCACCCCCCCTGCAGTGACCAAACACCAGACGTCTGTGGAATTCTAATTAAGAAGCCCAGGGAAGGAGGTCCGACAAACTTCCCTATAGGGCAGGGGTGGGCAAACATTTTGACTTGAGGGCCGCAATGGGTTCATATATTGGACCCGGGGGGGCCGGATCAAGAGTAGATGAATGATGTGTATGTGTCATCCATAGTAAGTATAGTAATTCATCCCCCATATAGTAATCCATCCCCCATAGTAATCCATCCCCCCTATAGTAATCCATCCCCCCTATAGTAATCCATCCCCCCTATAGTAATTCATCCCCCACATAGTAATTCATCCCCCATAGTAATTCATCCCCCCTATAGTAATTCATCCCCCCTATAGTAATTCATCCCCCATATAGTAATTCATCCCCCATATAGTAATTCATCCCCCATATAGTAATTCATCCCCCACATAGTAATCCATCCCCCATAGTAATTCATCCCCCACATAGTAATTCATCCCCCCTATAGTAATTCATCCCCCACATAGTAATTCATCCCCCACATAGTAATTCATCCCCCACATAGTAATTCATCCCCCACATAGTAATTCATCCCCCCTATAGTAATTCATCCCCCACATAGTAATTCATCCCCCACATAGTAATTCATCCCCCACATAGTAATTCATCCCCCCTATAGTAAGTCCCCCCTGTGTCAATTCACTTACCTTTGCTCCGCGCGTTCCTCTCGCCGTGTTCCCCGCGCCGTTCCGGTGTAGCATGAAAATCTGTCTCCTATGAGGATCCGTCCCCCTCGACGTATCTGCGCATGTGCCAGTTTCAGGCATTAGCAGCCGATCGGCGATCTCCGGCACATGCGCAGATACGTCGAGGGGGACAGATCCTCATAGGAGACAGATTTTCATGCTACACCGGTCTTCAGGGCGGACTGTGAGAGGAGCCTAGCGGGAGCCTAGCACCGCGGGTCGGATTAAAAGGTCCGCCGGGCCGTAGTTTCCCCATTGCTGCTATAGGGGGGGTGGCCGGACACACGTCCTGTAGGGGGTGCCGGACACACGTCCTGTAGGGGGGTGCCGGACACACGTCCTGTAGGGGGGTGCCGGACACACGTCCTGTAGGGGGTGCCGGACACACGTCCTGTAGGGGGTGCCGGACACACGTCCTGTAGGGGGTGCCGGACACACGTCCTGTAGGGGGTGCCGGACACACGTCCTGTAGGGGGTGCCGGACACACGTCCTGTAGGGGAGTTTGTCAACCTTTTAACCATCAAGTCAATTTTATCTTCTACATTTCAGGGAACCCCTTAAATAATTTTCAGTCTGCAGCTCCCAGTAGATCAGCACAAATCAGTGAATGTTCGGAATTATAATAAACATTCACATTTGTAACCAGAAGCTTTGTTCTGTAGAAGAAACATCTGCATTGGGGATTAGTGGCAGAAATGACCAATCAGATTTCAGTAGCTAAGAATCCTTTTCTGTGCCCCGCCCTTCTCTGCGTCTTGTCGGCACCATCAGTGGATGAAGGGAGTGTCCTCTCTGGGGCCACAGATCCTACTTGTCATAAATAACAAGATTTAAAGTTGTAACAAATAATAAATTGATTTATTTTCACTTCCTGTCCTGCAAACCCCCCCCCATAGAGAAATCCTATTCCCATTATTATGGACCATTCAGAGTGGAATCATTAACCAATACTCCGAATTTGGGCTTTTAGTCAGTTTTATATCCGTTTACAAACTGATTATTCCAAGTCTGTAGACTTCACCTTACAGCTGTGTGTGGGGAGCCGTGTCATCGCTTCTACAAATCCAAGTATACCACGTCCACCGCCCCCCCTCCGCCCAATTACATCACCGCCCCCCCTCCGCCCAATTACATCACCGCCCCCCCTCCGCCCAATTACATCACCGCCACTCCTCACCTCCGCCCGAGTACGCCCCAGCCGCCCCTCCGCCCGAGTACGCCCCAGCCGCCCCTCCGCCCGAGTACGCCCCAGCCGCCCCTCCCTCCGAGTACGCCCCAGCCGCCCCTCCCTCCGAGTACGCCCCAGCCGCCCCTCCCTCCGAGTACGCCCCAGCCGCCCCTCCGCCCGAGTACGCCCCAGCCGCCCGAGTACGCCCCAGCCGCCCCTCCGCCCGAGTACGCCCCAGCCGCCCCTCCCTCCGAGTACGCCCCAGCCGCCCCTCCGCCCGAGTACGCCCCAGCCGCCCCTCCGCCCGAGTACGCCCCAGCCGCCCCTCCGCCCGAGTACGCCCCAGCCGCCCCTCCGCCCGAGTACGCCCCAGCCGCCCCTCCGCCCGAGTACGCCCCAGCCGCCCCTCCGCCCGAGTACGCCCCAGCCGCCCCTCCGCCCGAGTACGCCCCAGCCGCCCCTCCGCCCGAGTACGCCCCAGCCGCCCCTCCGCCCGAGTACGCCCCAGCCGCCCCTCCCGCCCGAGTACGCCCCAGCCGCCCCCCTCCGCCCAAGTACGCCCCAGCCGCCCCTCCCTCCAAGTACGCACCAGCCGCCCCTCCCTCCGGGTACGCCCCAGCCGCCCCTCCCTCCGGGTACGCACCAGCCGCCCCTCCCTCCGAGTACGCCCCAGCCGCCCCTCCCTCCAAGTATGTGTGGAAGCAAAGGGGCGCAGCCTCCCGAAAGCTCCATCTGACAGAAAGGAGTCCCCCTGTCACACATTTTACACACAATCTCGGGGTGGGAAGCCACCAGGAATGTATATAACTAGTTGTGTCATTAACCTCTGCCGGAAAACTGAACTGCCAATCAGCGAGGAGACTTACATTTATGTTGGCGGTCCGATCCTCCGGAGAAACACGCCGGCCACAAGCCAGGACTTGGCCCCCAATGTCCTCACACACGGGTTGTGCCTAAGAGAGAAAATCACAACACTTAGAATTGCCCCGTGTATTGTATGACGACGTCTCCTTGTATGGCTTCCTTTGTGTCCCCGGAGTTCCTGCCAGTCCCTCTGATCTATGAACCCCCCGCCACCCAGAGGCTCCACCCCCCCCCCCTTCCTGCCAGTCCCTCTGATCTATGAACCCCCCGCCACCCAGAGGCTCCACCCCCCCACCCCCCTTCCTGCCAGTCCCTCTGATCTATGAACCCCCCGCCACCCAGAGGCTCCACCCCCCCCCTTCCTGCCAGTCCCTCTGATCTATGAACCCCCCGCCACCCAGAGGCTCCACCCCCCCCCCTTCCTGCCAGTCCCTCTGATCTATGAACCCCCCGCCACCCAGAGGCTTCACCCCCCCCCTTCCTGCCAGTCCCTCTGATCTATGAACCCCCCGCCACCCAGAGGCTCCACCCCCCCCCTTCCTGCCAGTCCCTCTGATCTATGAACCCCCCGCCACCCAGAGGCTCCACCCCCCCCCTTCCTGCCAGTCCCTCTGATCTATGAACCCCCCGCCACCCAGAGGCTCCACCCCCCTTCCTGCCAGTCCCTCTGATCTGTGAACCCCCCACCACCCAGAGGCTTCACCCCCCCCCCTTCCTGCCAGTCCCTCTGATCTATGAACCCCCCGCCACCCAGAGGCTTCACCCCCCCCCCCCCCCCCCTTCCTGCCAGTCCCTCTGATCTATGAACCCCCCGCCACCCAGAGGCTTCACCCCCCCCCCACCCCCCTTCCTGCCAGTCCCTCTGATCTATGAACCCCCCCCCCGCCACCCAGAGGCTTCACCCCCCCCCCCCACCCCCCTTCCTGCCAGTCCCTCTGATCTATGAACCCCTCGCCACCCAGAGGCTTCACACCCCCCCCCCCCCCCCCCGACCAGGCCATTTACTGCGGTACTGCACTGCATTACTTTAACTACTTGCCAACCGCAGACATTGCAGCCAACCAGTTCTGGCATCAGTGCCCAACATCCATGCCGCCCATGAGTGCAGTCCATCAGTGCCACCCACCACCAGTGCCCAACATCAGTGCCGCCCACCACCAGTGCCCAACATCAGTGCCGCCCAACATCCATGCCGCCCATGAGTGCAGTCCATCAGTGCCACCCACCACCAGTGCCCAACATCAGTGCCGCCCAACATCCATGCCGCCCATGAGTGCAGTCCATCAGTGCCACCCACCACCAGTGCCCAACATCAGTGCCGCCCACCACCAGTGCCCAACATCAGTGCCGCCCAACATCCATGCCGCCCATGAGTGCAGTCCATCAGTGCCACCCACCACCAGTGCCCAACATCAGTGCCGCCCAACATCCATGCCGCCCATGAGTGCAGTCCATCAGTGCCGCCCACCACCCGTGCCCAACATCAGTGCCGCCCACCACCCGTGCCCAACATCAGTGCCGCCCAACATCAGTGCCGCCCAACACCCGTGCCGCCCATGAGTGCAGTCCATCAGTGCCGCCCACCACCCGTGCCCAACATCAGTGCCGCCCAACATCCATGCCACCCATGAGTGCAGTCCATCAGTGCCGCCCACCACCCATGCCGCCCATGAGTGCAGTCCATCAGTGCCACCCACCAACCGTGCCCAACATCAGAGCCGCCCAACATCAGTGCCGCCCACCAACCGTGCCACCCACCAACCGTGCCCAACATCAGTGCCGCCCAACATCAGTGCTGCCCACCACCCGCGCCCAACATCAGTGCCGCCCAACATCCATGCCGCCCATGAGTGCAGTCCATCAGTGCCGCCCACCACCCGTGCCCAACATCAGTGCCGCCCACCACCCGTGCCCAACATCAGTGCTGCCCACCAACCGTGCCCAACATCAGTGCCGCCCAACATCAGTGCCGCCCACCACCCGCGCCCAACATCAGTGCCGCCCAACATCCATGCCACCCATGAGTGCAGTCCATCAGTGCCACCCACCACCCGTGCCCAACATCAGTGCCGCCCACCACCCGTGCCCAACATCAGTGCTGCCCACCACCCGCGCCCAACATCAGTGCCGCCCAACATCCATGCCACCCATGAGTGCAGTCCATCAGTGCCGCCCACCACCCATGCCGCCCATGAGTGCAGTCCATCAGTGCCACCCACCAACCGTGCCCAACATCAGAGCCGCCCAACATCAGTGCCGCCCACCAACCGTGTCACCCACCAACCGTGCCCAACATCAGTGCCGCCCAACATCAGTGCCGCCCACCGCCCCGCGCCCAACATCAGTGCCGCCCACCGCCCGCGCCCAACATCAGTGCCGCCCACCGCCCCCGCGCCCAACATCAGTGCCGCCCACCGCCCGCGCCCAACATCAGAGCTGCCCAACATCAGTGCCGCCCACCGCCCGCGCCCAACATCAGTGCCGCCCACCGCCCCCGCGCCCAACATCAGTGCCGCCCACCGCCCGCGGCCCAACATCAGTGCCACCCACCAACCGTGCCCAACATCAGAGCCGCCCAACATCAGTGCCGCCCACCAACCGTGTCACCCACCAACCGTGCCCAACATCGGTGCCGCCCAACATCAGTGCCGCCCACCGCCCGCGCCCAACATCAGTGCCGCCCACCAACCGTGCCCAACATCAGAGCCGCCCAACATCAGTGCCGCCCACCAACCGTGCCCAACATCAGTGCCGCCCAACATCAGTGCCCGCCCACCGCCCATGAGTGCAGTCCATCAGTGCCGCCCACCAACCGTGCCCAACATCAGTGCCGCCCAACATCAGTGCCGCCCACCATCAGTGCCGCCCACCATCAGTGCCGCCCACCATCGGGGTGACACCGGACCCGCTCCACTGACAGGTCAGTTGTAAAGCCGCCGATCCCCGCAGGATGGATGGGATGGGCGGATCGGGGGGGGGGGGGGGGGATGGATGGGACTCCGATCCATTACACTCAATCCGCACATCCCATCCATCCTGCGGGGATCGGCGGAGGGGGTGACGTCAAGTGTTATCGGTGACACCAACCCCGGGGACGCCCCTGCCGGTAGGCAAGTGGTGCAAAAATAAACATGAAAGGAACCCGCCATTGTATTCTCCGGGGCGGTATAACGTGTTCGGGGTTCCAGCAAACCAACCAGCAGATGTAAACAAAAAAGAACTACAAGTCCCAGCCCGCCGTCCACATTACCGGAACACGGACACCCCGTACTGGCATAGAATGCCTGTCACACATCCGGGAACATTCCCTGTCACGGTTTTCCCGCCATCACACACAGCGGCCCCCTCACCTCTCCTCCGGGCTCCCCGGCCAGGTTGTCCTTCATACTTCCCGCCAATTTTCTCTCTCCCTTTCCCGCCGAAGCCATACTCAACACAGCTCTGCACGTACACGGGACTGAGACGGAGAGGCGCATGCGCAGACAGAGGACTGGACGGCTCGCCGTCAAAAACAAAATGAACAGCAACGCTTAGAGGCTGGAGGGGGAACTGCAACTAGAATGAGCTGCTGGGCGCACAGCACCTGTCTCCTATGAGGATCTGCCCCCCTTGACGTATCTGCGCATGTGCCCGTTTCAGGCATTAGCAGCCGATCGGCGATCTCACCGTTAACCCCTTTTATGCCGGGTGCCAGGTATACGAAGCGCTGAATCCCATCCCTCCATCACTGGGGCTGACGATCCTCCCCAAGATGTATTCTCGCTGTCACACTGTAACCCCCAGTATGCTGGATTCAACCCACACCAACTGCAAGATGTCTCCAAGCTGCGGGGGGGGGGGGGGTTGTGACATGGCGAGTAACGTCACACGTGGGGGGATCAGTGACATGGGGGGGGCCATAACATGTGGGGGGATCAGTGACATGGGGGGCCATAACATGTGGGGGGATCAGTGACATGGGGGGGCCATAACATGTGGGGAGATCAGTGACATGGGGGGGCCATAACATGTGGGGGGATCAGTGACATGGGGGGGCCATAACATGTGGGGGGATCAGTGACATGGGGGGGCCATAACATGCGGGGGGATCAGTGACATGGCGAGTACAGTCACACGTGGGGGGATCAGTGACATGGGGGGGCCATAACATGTGGGGGGATCAGTGACATGGGGGGCCATAACATGTGGGGGGATCAGTGACATGGGGGGCCATAACATGTGGGGCGATCAGTGACATGGGGGGGCCATAACATGTGGGGGGATCAGTGACATGGGGGGGCCATAACATGTGGGGGGGGATCAGTGACATGGGGGGCCATAACATGTGGGGGGATCAGTGACATGGGGGGGCCATAACATGGGGGATCAGTGACATGGGGGGGGGGCCATAACATGTTGGTGGTGCAGTTACATGTGGGGGCCAGTCACATGGTGGGGATTTGCGTCAAGGGGGGCAGATTTTCATGGCGGAGTGAGCTTACTGCTATGGGGGGGGGTTGTTTGCGTCAAGGGGGGGGCACATTTTGACGGGGGACTGAGCTTTCTGCTACGGGGGAAGGGGGGGAGTTGCATCAAGGAGGGGCCGATCTTCACGGAGGATTGATCTGGGGGGGGGGGGGGGGGGTAAAGACAAGGGGGTCAGATCTTCACGGGGTACTGATCTTGGGGGGGGGGGGGGTAATGACAAGGGGGGGCAGATCTTCACGGGGGGGGGACTGATCTTGGGGGGGGGTGACAAGGGGGCAGATATTCACTGGTAACTGAGCTTGCTTGGTTGTAATGACAAGGGGGGGCAGATCTTCACGGGGACTGATCTTGCTGGGTGGTATGGACAAGGGGGGCAGATCTTCACGGGGGGGGGGACTGATCTTGCTGGGGGGTAATGACAAGAGTGGCAGATCTTCACGAGGGACTGATCTTGCTAGGGGGTATGGACAAGGGGGGCAGATCTGATCTTGCTGGGTGGTATGGACAAGGGGGGCAGATCTTGCTGGGGGGTAATGACAAGGGGGGCAGATCTTCACGGGGGACTGATCTTGCTGGGAGGTAATGACAAGGGGGGCAGATCTGCCCAGGGGACAGATCTTGCTGGGGGGTAATGACAAGGGGGGCAGATCTTCACGGGGGACTAATCTTGCTGGGGGGTAATGACAAGGGGGGCAGATCTTCACGGGGGACTGATCTTGCTGGTGGGTAATGACAAGGGGGGCAGATCTTCACGGGGGACTGATCTTGCTGGGGGGTAATGACAAGGGGGGCAGATCTTCAAGGGGGACTGATCTTGCTGGGGGGGTAATGACAAGGGGGGCAGATCTTCACAGGGGACTGATCCCCAGAGATAAGGCCACCAGAAATCAGCAGAACTGACCGCGAAATTAACACGGGAGTCACTTCTGGGTGGCGCCTGCCGGCCCCCCTGCGGGCTAGAGACCCGCAGGGTATAGGGCTACCCGTGTGCCAAATTGCGGGTGGCTGGTCCCCGTTGTTCCCCCCCGCCCCGTTTTTTCACCCCCCCCAAAAACACCACCCCAGCTTAAGGATCGTTGGGCAGCTTCACCTCTCAAACTTAAGGCTCGTTGGCCAGCTTGGTGGATGAACGTAGAGCTCCAGGGGGGGCTTAATGGTCAGAGGGTGTACCGGGGAAGGGGCCTTGATGGCCCGGGTAGAGATCCGGCGCTTAATCGGCTATATCTCCAGAACCGTACGGAGCACAAGAAACTTGGTCGGGCAGGATCGTAGAGCTAGAAAGGGGCTTTCCAATGAGCCCTCTTGGGTGTTCCTAGCCATAGTTCCTAAGGCTCCAGAGATATGGACCCTCAAAGTCACCGGTAAAAGCCGCTAGGCGCTGCGGGAGACCTAGCGGTAAGCGACCGCGAAGGTGGTATGTTTTGGTGCCTCGTGTCCCGCAAGATAGGGCGACTTTACCGGTCGATATCTATATATAGGAACTTGAAATTTGGTGCTGTAGCACTCATGATACCGCTCTACAACATACCAAAAATTGGGAGCGCCAGCTCCAAAAATGTGGATTTTTGCCTTTTTTTGCCAAGATTCTGCAGATGACTTTTCAACGCAACTTTCCCATAGCGTCTTCATCGGTTGATCGGTAGTGGAATCCGAACGGAATATGCCAGAGAGCCCAAATTGTGGCCAGTGATACCTGCATATCCCAGCATTGTGCCCACCAAGTTTGGACCTCCCAGCACCTTTAGAAACGAAACGTTCGCAGGGGAAGCTGGCCGGACTTTCCCATAGGCGCCAGTGTTAATCTTCGCGGTTGGACTTTTGCGGTTCTAGGCAATTCCGGCGCGGCCGTACCTCCGGGATCATTCGGTCCAGGAACAAACCGATTACAGGACGAGATACCTCAGGGTCTTACCAACAGAACGACCTACCGGCCCAAAATTGGAACCGTTTGACCGACCGGGGAAGGACACTTGTTTTTGGAGGTACTTTAATCGGAGATAGCCATTATGTTGTAAAGACTCTCAGAATTCTAATGAGCCCACCACGAGTTTGTAGCATGCTTGGTCCCGGAGCGACAACGGTTCAAATTGGCCGAACCGATTCCCAGTTCGTTCCCGTTCGAGTACCGGGTCCACAATTGGTACACTTGTACCCCTAGATCATAGCCAGGTTCAGTGAAAAGGTCCAAGGGGTCCAGCTGGACGGTACCGAGAACGAGACCCATTTTGATCCAGTGCTTGGGAGGCCAGGAAAGGGGTTGAAAACCCCCAAATTCTTTGCAGTTGCACTTTAGGGTCTCCCCAAGGCACCGTGGAAATTTTGGGCCCCTAGCACCTTCAGTCCTTGAGCTATTAGCACCGTAAGGGGACCAGCACCGTTTATGCCACAATTTCCCATAGACTTCCATGTTAACCGGAGACCGTCAAATAGGCCGACTTTGGGGGCCCGGTTCTCCGGAACCCCGGGGGCCAGCGACCCCAAACTTGGACCACATGTAGCCGGAGACCGAACGGACATGCACCCCAAAGGCGCCCATGTTAAAATTCGGTATCGGTTCGGTTTGGTTCTGACGGCTGTTTCTCCCGGGACATTTGGTTTTGAAACACACCGATTGCCGGGTCAGATACCTGGATAAGCAGCTACAAACCTCGTCATTACCCCCCAGCAAGCTCAGCTAATCCCCTCGTGAAGATCTGCCCCCCCCCCAGCAGCAAGCTCAGTCCCCCGTGAAGATCTGCCCCCCCTTGACGCAACCCCCCCCCCCATAGCAGCAAGCTCAGTCCCGCATGCAGATCTGCCCCCCTTGTCCATACCACCCAGCAAGATCTGCCCCCCTTGTCCATATCACCCAGCAAGATCAGTCCCCCGTGAAGATCCTCCCCCCCTTGACACCACCTATGACCCCCCCCCATCAGAAAGCTCAGTCCCCCGTGAAGATCGGCCCCCCTTGTCCATACCACCCAGCAAGATCAGTCCCCCGTGAAGATCTGCCCCCCTTGTCATTACCCCCCAGCAAGATCAGTCTGCTGTGTAGATCTGCCCCCCTTGTCATCCCCCCCCCAAGATCAGTCCCCCGTGAAGATCTGCCCCCCTTGTCATCCCCCCCAAGATCAGTCCCCCGTGAAGATCTGCCCCCCTTGTCATCCCCCCCCAAGATTAGTCCCCCATTAAGATCTGCCCCCTCTTGACACAACCCCCCCCCCCGTAGCAGCAAGCTCAGTCCCCCATGCAGATCTGCCCCCCTTGTCATTTTCCCCCCCCCCCAAGATCAGTCCCCCGTGAAGATCTGCCCCCTCTTGACACAACCCCCCCCCGTAGCAGCAAGCTCAGTCCCCCGTGAAGATCTGCCCCCCTTGTCATTCCCTTCCCCCAAGATCAGTACCCCCGTGAAGATCTGCCACCCTTGTCATTACCCCCCCCGGCAAGATCAGTCCGCCGTGTAGATCTGCCCCCCCTGTCATTACCCCCCAGAAAGATCAGTCCGCCGTGTAGATCTGCCCCCCCTTGTCATTACCCCCCAGCAAGATCAGTCCCCCGTGTAGATATGCCCCCCCTGTCATTACCCCCCAGCAAGATCAGTCCGCCGTGTAGATCTGCCCCCCTTGTCATTACCCCCCAGCAAGATCAGTCCGCCGTGTAGATCTGCCCCCCCTTGTCATTACCCCCCAGCAAGATCAGTCCCCCGTGTAGATATGCCCCCCCTTGTCATTACCCCCCAGCAAGATCAGTACCCCGTGAAGATCTGACCCCCTTGTCATTACCCCCCAGCAAGATCAGTGCGCTGTGAAGATCTGCCCCCCCTTGTCATTACCCCCCCCCCCCCCCCAAGATCAGTACCCCGTGAAGATCTGCCCCCCCTTGTTATTACCCCCCCCCCCCCGCAAGATCAGTCCTCCGTGAAGATCTGCCCCCCTTGTCTATACACTCCAGCAAGATCAGTCCCCCGTGAAGATCTGCCCCCCTTGTCATTACCCCCCAGCATGATCAGTCCTCCGTGAAGATCTGCCCCCCCCTTGTCATTACCCCCCAGCATGATCAGTCCTCCGTGAAGATCTGCCCCCCTTGTCATTACCCCACAGCAAGATCAGTCCCCCGTGAAGATCTGCCCCTCCTTGATGCAACTCCCCCCCGTAGCAGAAAGCTCAGTCCCCCGTGAAGATATGCCCTCCTTGATGCAACGCCTCCCCCCCCCGTAGCAGAAAGCTTAGTCCCCCGTGAAAATGTGCCCCCCCTTGACGCAAACATCCCCCCCCAATAGCAGTAAGCTCACTCCGCCATGAAAATCTGCCCCCCTTGACGCAAATCCCCACCATGTGACTGGCCCCCACATGTAACTGCCCCCCCCACATGTTATGGCCCCCCATGTTACTGATCCCCCCACATGTTATGGTCCCCCATGTTACTGATCCCCCCACATGTTATGGCCCCCCATGTCACTGATCCCCCCACATGTTATGGCCCCCCCATGTCACTGATCCCCCCACGTGTGACTGTGCTCGCCATGTCACAACCCCCCCGCAGCTTGGAGACATCTTGCAGTTGGTGTGGGTTGAATCCAGCATACTGGGGGTTACAGTGTGACAGCGAGAATACATCTTGGGGAGGATCGTCAGCCCCAGTGATGGAGGGATGGGATTCAGCGCTTCGTATACCTGGCACCCGGCATAAAAGGGGTTAACGGTGAGATCGCCGATCGGCTGCTAATGCCTGAAACTGGCACATGCGCAGATACATCAAGGGGGGCAGATCCTCATAGGAGACCGGCAATCATTGGTCTGTGTCTGCAGAATCATTACTGTCTGGGATTCCTGCACCAGCCAAACTGCAAGGTGGTCATGGGATCAAAGCCAGAGGACACTGAGCCAGTCCCATCAGTCTCTGTACCAGAGGAGCTTACACTCTAATGTCCCCTCCCCCGCAGTCACATCAGTCTGTACCAGAGGAGCTTACACTCTAATGTCCCCTCCCCCACAGTCACATCAGTCTGTACCAGAGGAGCTTACACTCTAATGTCCCCTCCCCCACAGTCACATCAGTCTGTACCAGAGGAGCTTACACTCTAATGTCCCCTCCCCCACAGTCACATCAGTCACTGTACCAGAGGAGCTTACACTCTAATGTCCCCTCCCCCGCAGTCACATCAGTCTCTGCACCAGAGGAGCTTACACTCTAATGCCCCCTCCCCCGCAGTCCCATCAGTCTCTGTACCAGAGGAGCTTACACTCTAATGTCCCCTCCCCCGCAGTCACATCAGTCTCTGTACCAGAGGAGCTTACACTCTAATGTCCCCTCCCCCGCAGTCACATCAGTCTCTGTACCAGAGGAGCTTACACTCCAATGTCCCCTCCCCCCAGTCCCATCAGTCTCTGTACCAGAGGAGCTTACACTCTAATGTCCCCTCCCCCACAGTCACATCAGTCTGTACCAGAGGAGCTGACACTCTAATGTCCCCTCCCCCACAGTCACATCATCTCTACCAGAGGAGCTTACACTCTAATGTCCCCTCCCCCACAGTCACATCAATCTCTGTACCAGAGGAGCTTACACTCTAATGTCCCCTCCCCCACAGTCACATCAGTCTCTGTACCAGAGGAGCTTACACTCTAATGTCCCCTCCCCCACAGTCCCATCAGTCTGTACCAGAGGAGCTTACACTCTAATGTCCCCTCCCCCACAGTCCCATCAGTCTCTGCACCAGAGGTGCTTACACTCCAATGTCCCCTCCCCCACAGTCACATAAGTCTCTTTACCAGAGGAGCTTACACTCTAATGTCCCCTCCCCCACAGTCACACACTATTCTTGTAGGTATATAGGTGACATGGGTTGGATCTGGTGTGGATTTTAAGGGGGAACCCTATGAAAACAAATGGCCGGGTTCCCCCAAATACATACCAGACCCTGAATCCAATCTTGCAGCCTGGCAGACCCCATCATGGGGTGGAGGAGGATGATTAGGACAAGAGCCTCTTCCACACAACTGTGGCCTTGTGGTTGTGGGGGGTCTGGGGGCGGGACTTGTCAGAATCTGGAGATAAGGGGGTGACAGATCTCCCCCCCCCGTAGGTGAGTATGGGGTACACAGGCTGACACCTCCACCTTACACCAGGTAATATCAGCGGCACAGCGTGAGGCCCCCTGTGCCTAGTGGGGGGTTCCACCACTACTCTACACCAATATATTGCTCTACTCTGAAATATTCGCACAGCTCTCCAGCCCAGAGGAACTACAATTCCCAGCATCCCCCCCCCCCCCCCCCCCCCCCCCCCCGCCGGCGTGGCTCTTCCATTGATCCGCTCACAAGCGCCGGTTGTACATTATTGACGCAGAATTTTCTCCACATAAACACATTAAACTGCTTCTGGGGAAATGAATAATCTCCCGTTCCTCCTCGCCGCCCGCCGCCGCCGCCACTTCCTGCCTGAGGGCGACACAAATTGAATTTTCTACAGACTTTAATTATTTTTAAAACAATTTTTAAACAAATGTCTGAGCCGAGGTGATTAATTCTGGGGGGGGGGGGGGGGGGGGGGGGACCACGAAAGGTGCGTTCTCCGTTACTTACTCCGAATTTAATAATCCACCAAAACAACCTGAGTGGTGATCGGGAGCGCAGAGCAGAGCGACGCTGATCCCACGCACGGCCGAACGATTGGACGCCTGACCGTCGGGGATGAGGCTCGGGTTTGCTGGTACCCCTCAGTTCGGGGGGAGTTCGGCATGTTTAAAACTGCTTGCCTGCCGTCCTATAGTAGAAGTACTAATACAGAGCAGCAGAGCTGCGCAAAACCACCTATATAAACGGGATTTGTATTTCCAGGTAGGGGCGCACTTGAGCCCACACTACCTGTGCTGCAATTGGTGGCTAGGGATGTCAATCACTGGGTCTTGGCTGGAGATTCCCCGCCGGCATCCAGCGACCGCTGAGCATCACTGACAGGGGAGAGGTCTGTATGTAAACATCAGGTCTCTCCTGTCAGCAAGGACATGCTGCTTTGTATCTCTCTGCACAGCATGTCTCCCTAGTAACACACGGTACACTGCACAGCCATCCTGATCAGTGTGAGTACAGTGAAGCACACAGACCCCCCCCCCCCTAGTAACAGACCCCACCCCCCTAGTAAAAAACTCCCAGCACACAGTTAACCCTTTGATCTCCCCTCATGTTAACCCCTTCCTGCCCAGTGCCATTAGTACAGTGTCGGGGCTTTTTGTTAGCACTGATCACTGTATTGGTGTCACTGGGGATGTCAGTGACACCAAGTCAGTTCCCCCCCCCCCCCCCCCCCCAGTGTCACAATGCCCGGCGCAGTTCCGTTAAGTCGCTGATCGCCGCCATTACTAGTATTAAAAAACTCCCCGTATCTCCCGCCATTTGTAAACCAATTAATTTACACGTATCGGGATTTTTTTTTTAGCGAAGACACGGAGCGGGAGACATTTTGGCCGAAATTTATGAAGAAATTAGATTTTTAAAATTTTTTTACTGAATATTTTTAATAGCAAAACGTCAAAATATTGTTTGGTTTTTTTTTTAAATTGTTGAATGGTCATTTTTTGTTTATAGCGCAAAAAATTAAAAACCGCCCAGGCGATCGAATACCACCGAAAGAACGCTCGATTCGTGGAAAAAAAGGACATAAATTTCATCTGGGTGCGGCGTTGCATGACCGCGCAATTCTCGGTTAAAGTAACGCAGCGCTGTATCACAAAAATTGGCCGGGGGAATCCCGGGGGGGAATCCTCGGGAGGGGTAGGGGTTAAGGTTCTTTGTAAACATAATTCTCTGCCTGGCCCTTGAACTTAGGTCAGCTGGCTTAGAAGGACCAGTAAAAAAAAAACGGACCCTTGACCCCCCCACACTAACCCTGGCACAGACCTACATCAAACCTTCATCCAGGCATTTTTGTTTATTTTATTATTTATTTATTACACACACTTCTTTTTTTTTCTCTCCTTTCTGAAAGGACAGAGAGAGATCCAATATACACTGTATTTCCAAACGTATTGTCCCCCCGCCCTCCCAATCATGTGATTCAGGTGTTCCAATCCCCTCCCAATCATGTGATTCAGGTGTTCCAATCCCCTCCCAATCATGTGATTCAGGTGCTCCAATCCCCTCCATATCATGTGATTCAGGTGCTCCAATCCCCTCCCAATCATGTGATTCAGGTGCTCCAATCCCCTCCCAATCATGTGATTCAGGTGTTCCAATCCCCTCCATATCATGTGATTCAGGTGTTCCAATCCCCAGTCAGGAGGGCACAGTGCGGGGGGAGTCAAGAGGGCACAGTGCGGGGGGAGTCAAGAGGGCACAGTATGGGGGGAGTCAGGAGGGCACAGTACGGGGGGGGGTCAGGAGGGCACAGTACAGGGGGGGTCAGGAGGGCACAGTACAGGGGGGAGTCAGGAGGGCACAGTACAGGGGGGGTCAGGAGGGCACAGTACAGGGGGGGGGGTCAGGAGGGCACAGTACAGGGGGGGTCAGGAGGGCACAGTACAGGGGGGGTCAGGAGGGCACAGTACAGGGGGAGTCAGGAGGGCACAGTACAGGGGGGTCAGGAGGGCACAGTACAGGGGGGTCAGGAGGGCACAGTACAGGGGTAGTCAGGAGGGGACAGTACAGGGGGAGTCAGGAGGGCACAGTACAGGGGGGGTCAGGAGGGCACAGTACAGGGGGGGGGTCAGGGGGGCACACAGTACAGGGGGGGTCAGGAGGGCACAGTACAGGGGGGGTCAGGAGGGCACAGTACAGGGGGAGTCAGGAGGGCACAGTACAGGGGGTCAGGAGGGCACAGTACAGGGGTAGTCAGGAGGGGACAGTACAGGGGGAGTCAGGAGGGGACAGTACAGGGGGGAGTCAGGAGGGCACAGGGTACAGGGGGGGGAGTCAGGAGGGCACAGTACAGGGGGGAGTCAGGAGGGCACAGTACGGGGGGAGTCAGGAGGGCACAGTACGGGGGGAGTCAGGAGGGCACAGTACAGGGGGGGAGTCAGGAGGGCACAGTACAGGGGGGGGTCAGGAGGGCACAGTACAGGGGGGAGTCAGGAGGGCACAGTACAGGGGGGGTCAGGAGGGCACAGTACAGGGGGGGTCAGGAGGGCACAGTACAGGGGGGTCAGGAGGGCACAGTACAGGGGGGGTCAGGAGGGCACAGTACAGGGGGGGTCAGGAGGGCACAGTACAGGGGGGGTCAGGAGGGCACAGTACAGGGGGGGTCAGGAGGGCACAGTACAGGGGGAGTCAGGAGGGCACAGTACAGGGGGGAGTCAGGGGCAGGAGGGCACAGTACAGGGGGAGTCAGGAGGGCACAGTACAGGGGGAGTCAGGAGGGCACAGTACAGGGGGGGGAGTCAGGAGGGCACAGTACGGGGGGGTCAGGAGGGCACAGTACAGGGGGGGGGAGTCAGGAGGGCACAGTACGGGGGGAGTCAGGAGGGCACAGTACAGGGGGGGGTCAGGAGGGCACAGTACAGGGGGGAGTCAGGAGGGCACAGTACAGGGGGGATCAGGAGGGCACAGTACAGGGGGGGTCAGGGGCACAGTACAGGGGGGAGTCAGGAGGGCACAGTACAGGGGGAGTCAGGAGGGCACAGTACGGGGGGAGTCAGGAGGGCACAGTACGGGGGGAGTCAGGAGGGCACAGTACAGGGGGGGGGGGGGAGTCAGGAGGGCACAGTACGGGGGGAGTCAGGAGGGCACAGTACAGGGGGGGTCAGGAGGGCACAGTACAGGGGGAGTCAGGAGGGCACAGTACAGGGGGGAGTCAGGAGGGCACAGTAGTACAGGGGGGGTCAGGAGGGCACAGTACAGGGGGGGTCAGGAGGGCACAGTACAGGGGGAGTCAGGAGGGCACAGTACAGGGGGAGTCAGGAGGGCACAGTACAGGGGGGGGGGGGAGTCAGGAGGGCACAGTACAGGGGAGTCGGGCACATTACGGGGGGAGTCAGGAGGGCACAGTACAGGGGGAGTCAGGAGGGCACAGTACAGGGGGGAGTCAGGAGGGCACAGTACAGGGGGGGGGAGGAGTCAGGAGAGGGGGCACAGTACAGTACAGGGGGGGGAGTCAGGAGGGCACAGTACAGGGGGGGGTCAGGAGGGCACAGTACAGGGGGGAGTCAGGAGGGCACAGTACAGGGGGGAGTCAGGAGGGCACAGTACAGGGGGGAGTCAGGAGGGCACAGTACGGGGGGAGTCAGGAGGGCACAGTACGGGGGGGAGTCAGGAGGGCACAGTACAGGGGGGGTCAGGAGGGCACAGTACGGGGGGAGTCAGGAGGGCACAGTACAGGGGAGTCAGGAGGGCACAGTACAGGGGGGGTCAGGAGGGCACAGTACTGGGGGGGGAGTCAGGAGGGCACAGTACAGGGGGGAGTCAGGAGGGCACAGTACAGGGGGGGGGTCAGGGGGGCACAGTACAGGGGGAGTCAGGAGGGCACAGTACAGGGGGGGTCAGGAGGGCACAGTACAGGTCAGGAGGGCACAGTACAGGGGGGGTCAGGAGGGCACAGTACAGGGGGGGGAGTCAGGAGGGCACAGTACAGGGGGGGGGAGGGAGTCAGGGGGAGTCAGGAGGGCACAGTACAGGGGGGGAGTCAGGAGGGCACAGTACAGGGGGGAGTCAGGAGGGCACAGTACAGGGGGGGTCAGGAGGGCACAGTACAGGGGGGGGTCAGGAGGGCACAGTACAGGGGGGAGTCAGGAGGGCACAGTACAGGGGGAGTCAGGAGGGCACAGTACAGGGGGGGTCAGTCAGGAGGGCACAGTAGGGGGGGGGAGTCAGGAGGGCACAGTACAGGGGGAGTCAGGAGGTACAGTACGGGGGAGTCAGGAGGGCACAGTACAGGGGGGGAGTCAGGAGGGCACAGTACAGGGGGGGGAGTCAGGAGGGCACAGTACAGGGGGGAGTCAGGAGGGCACAGTACAGGGGGGGGGAGTCAGGGGGCACAGTACAGGGGGGAGTCAGGAGGGCACAGTACAGGGGGGGAGTCAGGAGGGGCACAGTACAGGGGGAGTCAGGAGGGCACAGTACAGTACAGGGGGAGTCAGGAGGGCACAGTACGGGGGGGAGTCAGGAGGGCACAGTACAGGGGGGGTCAGGAGGGCACAGTACAGGGGGAGTCAGGAGGGCACAGTACAGGGGGAGTCAGGAGGGCACAGTACAGGGGGGGGGTCAGGAGGGCACAGTACAGGGGGAGTCAGGAGGGCACAGTACAGGGGGGGGGGGTCAGGAGGGCACAGTACAGGGGGGAGTCAGGAGGGCACAGTACAGGGGGGGGGAGTCAGGAGGGCACAGTACAGGGGGAGTCAGGAGGGCACAGTACGGGGGGAGTCAGGAGGGCACAGTACAGGGGGGGTCAGGAGGGCACAGTACAGGGGGGGGGAGTCAGGAGGGCACAGTACAGGGGGGAGTCAGGAGGGCACAGTACAGGGGGAGTCAGGGGGCACAGTACAGGGGGGAGTCAGGAGGGCACAGTACAGGGGGAGTCAGGAGGGCACAGTACAGGGGGGGGGGGGGAGTCAGGAGGGCACAGGGGGGGGAGTCAGGAGGGCACAGTACAGGGGGGGAGTCAGGAGGGCACAGTACGGGGGGGAGTCAGGAGGGCACAGTACAGGGGGGAGTCAGGAGGGCACAGTACGGGGGGGAGTCAGGAGGGCACAGTAGGGGGGGGGAGTCAGGAGGGCACAGTACGGGGGGAGTCAGGAGGGCACAGTACGGGGGGAGTCAGGAGGGCACAGTACGGGGGGAGTCAGGAGGGCACAGTACAGGGGGTCAGGAGGGCACAGTACAGGGGGAGTCAGGAGGGCACAGTACAGGGGGGGTCAGGAGGGCACAGTACAGGGGGGAGTCAGGAGGGCACAGTACAGGGGGGGTCAGGAGGGCACAGTACAGGGGGAGTCAGGAGGGCACAGTACAGGGGGAGTCAGGAGGGCACAGTACAGGGGGGGGAGTCAGGAGGGCACAGTACAGGGGGAGTCGGGCACATTACGGGGGGAGTCAGGAGGGCACAGTACAGGGGGAGTCAGGAGGGCACAGTACAGGGGGAGTCAGGAGGGCACAGTACAGGGGGAGTCAGGAGGGGCACAGTACAGGGGGGGGGGGAGTCAGGAGGGCACAGTACGGGGGGAGTCAGGAGGGCACAGTACAGGGGGGAGTCAGGAGGGCACAGTACAGGAGGGGGAGTCAGGAGGGCACAGTACAGGAGGGGGAGAGTCAGGAGGGCACAGTACAGGGGGGGAGTCAGGAGGGCACAGTACGGGGGGAGTCAGGAGGGCACAGTACAGGGGGGGGTCAGGAGGGCACAGTACAGGGGGAGTC